TCAGCAGTGGTTGACTAGAGAGAAGACAGCTAGTCAACACCACTCACCCCGCCAACTCTTGGGTTACTTAGATTGCGAGTTGAGCCAGGCCGTTGAGAAGATATTATTTGTCGCAACATTAAGAGTTGCTTTACAGTCAATGACCAACCTAAGAAACACAATACCCAACTACAATTAAATGTCTTTATAAGTAACTTTTTAGTACTAAACTTTAATTGAAAGAATATTAATATGTAGAAAAATAAAGGAGGAAGTTAATTAACTTAATTAAAGAAATGGATTAATAACCATAAATTATATTTTCTAACTTCCAAGTTTTATATATTCTACTGTTTTCTAAATGAAATGATGATTTAACCTTTTGATAAAATATGTTTTGTAAATAACTATTTTTTATTATATTTATATTTACAAAAGTCCCCTGGTGAGTCAGCGGTAAGTTTAGGGACTTACAACGATAAAATTCGGGTTCGATTCTCCGCGGTGGACAGAGCACAAATAGCCCATAGTATTGCTTTGCGTTATAAACAAGCAAACAGGCAATATTCCCAAAATGGGAAACGAAAGAAATAACGCTTCTTTAAGGTAGCCCCCCCCCCCAGTGGCACAGCGGAATGTTTGTGGACTTACAACGCCAGAAACCGGGTTTCAATACCCGTGGTGGGCAGAGCACAGACAGCCCTTGTGTAGTTCTGTGCATAATTAAAAACAAACAAACAAATAATCTTTAAGGTAATCATATGTTATATACATTGATACAAACGTTTAAAACACTCAGGGGGACTTTCAGTGTGATTTTTAAAAACTTTATATGGGAGTGTAACGTCTTACAGATTTATCTTTTTCTCGCTAAACGTAAAAATTGAAAATATAATCTGGGATAAATAAGCCTAATTCATTTCTTGATTGGTTGTACTCTCTTCTGTGGACTGCAGTTTTGTCTGTACAAGGCTCATCAGTACACCTTGGGTTAGCAAACCAAAGAAATGCAGTTAGGCCTCTTACAATGGTAATGTGTATATACTAATTTTGGGTTTTTTGAGTCCTTTTATTTTTTGGTTTGCTGGCCCGAGGTGTGCTGATGACCCTTGAACAGGCAAAACTGCAATCCCCAACAGAGGGAGCTGCGAATCAAAGAATGAATTAGAGCTTTACGTCACAGATCATCTTTTCTATTTAACCTTTCGTGAAAATAAAATAAATCTGTAATATATTTATAATTATTCTATAGTATAATACTGAATAATAAATTAGGCGTAATTCCATAATTTAACGCACATACCTAAGTTAAGTTATTATAAGGTGAGTTAAAGCGGACTTAAAAAGCCCATAAATATTGCGACTTCATGTACTTCTGTTGTTGTTGTTTTTACGTCGTAAAACAATAGAGTACTTCAATTTTTTATTATTCTTGGAAGTCATATTCTACTGATATATTCGATTTATGATTGGTAAATATTTTACGTTGAACGCACTTTTATGTATACACATATCTATTGTCTGTCCATAAATGCATAGTCCTCAGAATCTCCCCGTCCAATATATGGGGATCCCACACCCACTTCGACCCCCTTCCCTATATATGTCGATAGATTTGCGATTTCTACAGCTTGAACTTAGTTTCTAATCGAAAATAATGACTCGCTATAAACAGATAAAGATTCTAAAATGAATTTGGTAGCTGGAGATAAAAGAGTCGAAAAGATAAGATGAAGAAATGAAGGTAATATCGAGAAGGTCAAGTAGGCTGTTCACTATACAGTCTATTCTCACGTAAGTTTTGCTTTTGTCTATTTTCCTCCCTTTGTTTTCATTACATCTTGACTCTCAGTACTTCAAAATAGGCCGAAACTTTCTTTTTAATTGAACATTTTTTCCGGAGGAGCATACTTTCGACTCCCTAGTTTCTACTGGTGACACTGTTCTGATAAGCTTGATTCACTTCCAACTTTGTCCCCACCCCTTTGTTTTCGATGCCTGAGGAATATATATATATGTGTGTGTTTTTTGTGGGTTACATATCCGTCTGCGCTGTTTTATATAACTTTTTACTAGTAATCCTGAATCACCTTCAAACAAAGATATTTTATCGCTGTTGGAAATTAATTTTGTTTCATTATCTCCGTCTCTTCAGGAGCCTTTGTTTGATTACGTATTTTCACCGAAACACCTGCGAAATTTTCCTGACACTGCTCTTTATCCTGGTAATTTCGTATCGATTGTACATTTCCAGGGGTTAGGCATGGGCGGATACTAAACCTCTATTGATTCGCAACGGATCCGCTCATAACCGGTTTCAGTTTTGTTTATTATCGTAAGATGAGTTTCAGGTGCTACTTAAAATCCGCCATCTGTGTTACCAATGGAACAGACAACAGACACAGAAAGAATACGACGAAGTAGGTATGAGATTTACTGATGCCTCTGCTAGTGAGGATTATTTTGGATAAGATAAGGTGGAACGGAACAAAATGGCACGTCCTTGAAAATAAATATATACGTTATTTATTAATTATCTGATGGAAAAGACAATTATGCAAGAAACAAAAACAAATCACGTTTATTGCTTCAGTTGAGGACAACATCTGTTTAACTGTGATTGGCCAATAGCGTTTAAGCAGACTTATGCCTTTCAAAGTTTCTTTGATTTTCATGTAACATATTTTATTTGAAGAAATTATAGATAATTCAAAATTAATAGAAAACTATACTAGTAAGCGTTTGTTCACCGTGTCCCCAGTGGGACAATGGTAAGTCTTCGGATTTACAACGCTAAAATCAGGGGTTCGATTCCTCTCGGTGGGAACAGCAGATAGCTCGATGTGGTTTTGCTATAACAAAGTACACAAAAACACACTTAGTTACCATTGGATGTTCATAGACATAATCAACAGCTGTTATTATTATAAGTACCTTGTCAAAAATTCAGTGATCAATGTCTTCGCTTTCAAACGCATTACGTTAGCCCAAGTGGAACAGCGGAATGTCTGCGGACTCCCCTGGTGGGAAAAGCACAGATAGCCCATGGTGTAGCTTTGTGCTTAATTACAAACAAACAAACATTAGGTTAGCTTACATGTTTAGTGCAAGATCTGAATTGAATGATATAAATTTATTTGAAGTAAAACTATCTTACAGTAGAAAAAGAAAAACTCTTCGTTGTTGCTAAAATAAATGCAGTTGAAAGGCAACTACTTTGGCAAAAGTTTTGAGCAAGCCTATACTCTCAATTTCGAATTCAGTTATTTATATGACGTGATAAGCTATTTACGTTCTTAAGCCTTTTTTCAGTATTATATTACAATGAAAGTAACATAGTTTGTTACGAAGAGTTCCCTATGTAGCTCCGGTAATCAGGCGTAAGAGGAAGGATTTTTTAAGTTGTTATTCTTGTTGTTCTTGAATTACGATGTGCATTAACGCATAAAGCTATCCGAGAACAGGGTTGCATTAACACCAAGTGCGTTTTTTTATTGGAAAAATTGAAAGGATAACTGGTTTTATAAGCAACACGTCACTCTGTATTTACTAAAGCCACGCAATGCCTTCTCTAAAAGCACCATTTTCTGGGCCTTTCTGACAGTGCTGAAAGAAGAACAGCGATGTTTGCCGTTTTTCGTCAGATATATTCCCTAAGAAATCTGCATTTCAACGATTTCTGCGAATGAACACAATTTAACGAAACGTCAAATGTGTGGAAAATTTCACAACTCAATGATGTGAATATTATAAAATCAATAAAATCAAAATCATCATAGCACTTTTTGTATGCCGGTCTCGTTAATCCATCGTTGCCATGGAAACGAAGAAAACATAAACTGTTTATCATAGAAACAAAGAGAGAAATACCTTCGCAAGCATCAACATGATACTGTAAATATTTTAAATGTAGCTTCGTTATCTTACCACCCACTTTATATTTAGTATCTAAAATGGCATTTTGTGAATGAACACAATAACATTTGAACACATTGAAATATTGAAGCTTAAATTTGGGATTATTATATATTATTGATTGCATTTGAGTCAAAGTCACTGATTTGTCTATTTAGTTACTATTTTTGCATTCCTTTTTTTTTCAATGCCAAACATTACAATGGGATATCTGCGCACTGTTTTCCGTGGAGAATCGAACCCCGGATGTTGGCGTTGTAAGTACGTAAACTTACTGTTGACTTACCGGGGTAACTGAGGCGTTGAAAATCACTCTATGCATAATATTTGTGTTTTCATTCTTTGATTCAGTTACTGAAGAATTCAATAGATAAAATATTAGCTTAGACTGAAAATGTTCAAGTGGAAAATAAAAGTTAGATTTATTTAGCTCTATAAAAAACGCTGATGAATTTCAAATAACGAAAGACACTTAGTTAATGGCCATTAGAACGTTAATTAGATTTTTGTACCTTTTACGGTAGCAAATTATTTCTTCATTTGTTTTAAAAACTTCGTGAAAACCAACAAAAGGATTATCCGTGGATAGCTGTTTCTAATTATGAAGTGATAGGCTGGACTATTTTTTATTAGATATTTCACGTGAAGCGAAAGAAAATTTAAGAAAAAGATGGCGCTGCAGCAATGTCAAAGGAAATTTATTAGAGATCTTTAGGCGATGGGTACCTATTAATTTTTAAAGAAAGAAATATTAACCGAGAAGGAACGGATTTTAAGGCTTTTATTATTAAGCGTTTATCGAATTGTTTATATTTTCTAATTTGTACAGTTTGCACTGATTTTTTATATTTAAAACAAATTGATAGTTTAAGATCAAAAGTAAATTTACAGAAGCCATACTGGCAAATGAGAAGCAAAATTATTTCCCGTCGTCTTTATATTCCTATATTTTCATTTATTTTAAAGGCTTTTCCTATATTTCATATATATATATATATATATCTGAATACCTCAGTATTCTGTAGTTTTGTTGTTGCCCCTATATTTTGGGCTAAATGTAGTTAACTTCAAGCATTACTGTGAATAAAGCAATATTATTCTTTCAGTTTTTAAGTGTAATTTCAAGCATTCAGTGCCATACAGAAGAATGTGCTCAGAACTTGCAATTTGAAGAGGGAAATTTATCAATTGGACTGTGTTGTTATACCAGAAATCTGACCATAGAGCCAAGCAATGTTTTGGTAAGTCCTGGTCTCTTTATTTTTTCGAAAAAAATCGTATGTTGTTTCATGTTGTGTTAATTTGTTTTGGAGGTAGTAGGCGGATTCGGGGCGGTCAGGGAGTGGTGGTAGCCCTATCCGTGTGGTGTAGCCACTTATTAATGATGTATAAATGTCCGTGTAAGTTCACCTAGGCATGAGGAGGGTCTTGGAGGAAGTTTACAGGGATCGTTGAACTTAAATCTGACATCTGATTTTGTTGTGTTCCTGCTCCTTCCCCAGGGATCTTGAAGCGTAATATTTGAAATTGTTTTCGCTCTCAAGCTAGCTATATGGAAGAGTTCGACACTCTTATTAAAACATACTTATGTTCAGTGGTAGAGTATACCTGTCCTGCATGGTTAAATATCGCAAAACCACACATAACAAAATTACAGACACTTCAAAATTCAATACTCATTAAAGAACCACCAATTCAACATTTTTACACAATTACGTAGACATCCTTATGGTATCAGACAGACTATCATATAGATAACTAGCTTATTTCAAGAAACATTTAAACAAAATTGAATTACTAAGAACGTTGGAAAACTTTACAATACATAATTTACATACAGTTAAGTACCTCTAACCATTAAATCTTATAAGTTTCATACATCAATGGCCACCTAATACTAGGAAAACCAGCAGTTAGATCTACAGTTATTTATATTTTAAAATGTCTTTTTACGTGAAATTAAAGTTATCAGTGTAGTTTATGTGCAATTGCTTTCAAAAGTGAGACTTTGCGTTCGAACAATTAATTGGAGGGAATATAGTTGCTCATAAAAAAGGAAAAAAAAATCTGTTTTTCATTTATGAACATGGCCGGAAAAGGACCATTTGTGTGTGTATGGCTGCATGTTTAGAAATTGGATTTTCGTAGCTACTGGTAATATCGACTATAGAGTATGGAAGAATATTCTATTACACAAGCACTGATATCCACGCCATGGAGGGAGGAAGAGGTCCAGTGTATACCTGACTCTTCCAGGTCTCATGACCGAAATCACGACCAAACAACGACGATTTTCAAGCTAGCGAGACCAAACTTGGTATACGTTCTCAGATACTTCGGGCAATTGTCTAACGGATTTATTTTTCAGATATGGACCCTTCTTTGGGTAGCTATAAGAGTAATTGTGGATAATGGGGAAAACTGATCAGTACACTGGGGTCTTGTTATCGTAAAAGGACCTTTAAACCCCCGTAGCAGAACGCGGGTATTTTATGGAAGTATTAGTAATCTCGATGAAAACTAACTTAGAAACTGAGGACCTTTTGTCTGTCACTGCAGATTTTATGAGTAAAATAGTAGCATGATGTTGCTTATCCTATGCTATCATAAATACTACGCTTTTTACATATTTCCAGTTTTTCTTGTAGATATTGGTGTATGGAAAACGGTGGTGGTTTCTGAAGTAACTTTTGACTTTTAGTCTTTGTAAAATTACATCACCTAATAATAGTAAATGCTTGTTTGTTGTCTAACAGCTGGTAAATTTCAGGTAGTGTGTTCCAAGTCATCAACATACATAACCAACCCCAAAGGAAGACGTCATCTTGCCCAAAGGACATACAATTTGTCAAGACTAAAGGAGGAAAAATGAAATGAGTTGAAATACGAATGTGATGTACAAAAATTCTAGGGAAGCCAACAAATTTACAGTGCATATTATGTTATAATAACTTTGCCATTTACAACTATGGAATTAGTCATATCAGACAGAAATGCAATACCATTAAAGCACAGATAAATAACCCAGACTAGGTTTCGCTTCCTTAAATTAGGTCAGAAGACACAGGTGGTACAAGAAGATAAAAACGATGTATCATCAAACCACCAAGAGAGTAAACAGGAAGAGAAAATGACTGAAAATAATATCGAGATTTTAATGTCACTATTACTCCATGACTGGATGAAAGAGGCAGAAATCGTATGGTGTTACAAAGTTGCTGCAAGTAACTTTTCCTTTCGATAATTGTGATAGACTGAGCAAGTTGTTTGAGAGGATTTTTAAATGATCTATAGCAGGAAACTTTATTCTTGGTATCTCTAAAGTGGGTTACAAATTATCTGATGGAATTGGCCTCTTCCTGTTGAGCAGATTGTAGAAGAAGGGACTGATCAAAACTTGGGTTATGCCCAGGTTAAAAGACAAACGTGTGTCCATATTCGCTATTGGAGTCCAAGTGTTAATGAAGTAAAAGTTAAGTACTTGATGTTGTTGTTGTTTTAGTGCAAAATTACATAATAGGCCATCTGCACTCTTTACATCGCGGGGAATTAAAACCCGTATTTTAAATGTGTAAGTTCGAAAACTTACCACTGACCTACCGAAGACCTAATTTTTGAATGGCATGGTTTGGGGCAAAGCAAAAAATGGTTGCAGACTATCTCTTAGACTTGGGAAATACTTTAGATACTAGAATGCTACTAGAGCACCTCTTCAGTTTATCATCAGATTGCTGTAATGTAAATATGACCATGCGCAAAAAGTTCACATTGCTCTCACAGCCACAGGATTATCTAGACTATCGTAATTTCAACCATGTAACCATCAAGTTGTCTACAACGCATTCTGAGCAAGTTTTAATATATATGGACTAAAAACAGAGAATTTGACTTTCAACGTGCATCAGTTCTTTAATCAACTCTCATGCTGAAAAGAAGACTTCATAGATCTATAGCTTGAGTATGTAATAGATGAAAGTCTGTTCCTAAGACATGTGTCAAGAAAATTGTTAATATTGCTTCCTTCAATGAAACATGTTCAAGGGAAGCGGGATGTGAGCAAGGAGTATTTCCACAATATACTGCCAAATTCTCTCAAAGTCAATGCTGAAAAGAAGCAATTGGAAAGAAATGGACAATACATCGGCTTCTGTTTAAAAATTAATAATGTGAACATTTTGAAAGAGATAAGATTTTTAACTTTCAGTTGCTCTAGTTTTCGAGAAGTTCCTGACACTGCTTACAAAAAAGAATTTCCACCACTCATCTGCTCTTAGATGAAAGCTTTGCATTATTTTGGGAAGGCTTATGAAAGCAGGTAAAATTGATAATAAGACAGAACGCTGCTTATCTGATATTGGCTATACTGAAAAATCTCTTTGACTCACAAATGGAAGTCGGAGTCACAGCAAGAGAGATGACAAAGGCTCCAAACCAACAACAGGCTTTGTTGCTGAAGAATATGAGGAACTTCTAACTTGAGAAACATGATTATCTGTGATTATATGGTAGGACACATACAACTTAAAAGTCAGCTGCTTTGGGATGTTTAATATTCACATTCATTAGTGAGGGAAAGGGACAGTAGCACAAGTGCCATACGACGACTTACTGTCAAGGTGCCTCATGTTGCATCAGAAAGTGAGGAGACAGCTTGAACAGATGAATAGTTTGTATACAAAATAAATCTTGACATATAAACTGAATAATACATAAAATCTAATGGGGAACTTCCAAGCATGCCCATCACTATGGCAAAATTTTCTGGCTCAGTAGTACCAAAACAGCTAAAGTACAGAGTCCTACCCAAGATGATTAAAATTGTCTTGACACTTGCACGTATAAATGCTGATGTGAAACGTTTACTTTCAGCAAATAAGCACATAGAACTGAGCTGAATATTGAGAGTATCAGTTTCTGGCGCTTACAAAAAAGAAAAATAAACATGGCCAGAAGTGCTTATGCTCAACATGAGCAAAGAATCAAGCAAGAAAAGGAGGCAACTGAAAACAAGAGAGAAATGAAAGACAGTCAAACACAATAAAATGCCAAATTAGTTAGAAGAAAAAAAGAGGCTTATGGTCGAGCTGGACCTTATGGTTAGCGTCCCGGATTGTGAAACTGCGTGACAACCGTTTGCACCCTGCTACTGAAAAAATATAAATTGCACTTTGCAATTTGAAGCCAAAAGTGCGTTATAAGGGTGAGTGTCAAGTCCCACCATTCGGTCAGACAAAAGTAGCATCCAAGAGTTGGTGGTGGGTCCTGTTCACTAGCTGCTTTCTTCTAGTCTATCTATCAGTTCAAAATGAGAGAGAACTACCTTGAATAGCTTCGCGCGAATATCTGAAAACAACCAAAACGAGGTTTAAGACATGAAAAACAAATTTTCAAAGCAGAAGAGAGGAAAGTCAGTGAAAAGGAAGGAGAATTCAGAAACACTTTCAGAATTGCATAAAAACATTTGTAACAAGCCACATCGAAGTTGCGTGAAGCAATCATGACAAAGGATGAAGTAGCCATACAAGTAGCATAAGGAATGTTAGAAGGAGCATAAGGAAGAATTGAGAAAAGAAGAAAGAAAATTGAATAATGCCAGAAAAAACAACAAAGACTGGAAAGAAATAGGCATCTCTGTTGGTCATCCAAGAAGGGCAAAGTAGCCATAAGAAATAGTTCAGAATAGTTAAAAACTGAACTGCTGAGTTAGAGAAACATCCATCAATAACTGAATGCGTTATGTTTGTCATATTGATTTGTTTATTTTGTATTAAATATTACAAATTTGTATTCATTTGTTGCATTTCAATTACAACTGAATTAGGATTAGGATTAAAATATTAGATTAAAAAGTAACAATTGTGTAGTACAGACATTTGGTTTGTAATTAGCGGAAATACATCTGTTTTATAGCAATAGTATTAAATATGTTCTGTATATGATGTTATGTTATGCTTTATCAAGGAACTTATTAAGAATAAAATTTTCAGGTGATTTGTTCGATTCCTGGAGCACAGTCCATCAGATGGCAAGTGAAGAGCATACTTCTGTAAGGTACTTCAATGGGTATGATTTATAGTGAACACCGACAAGAGGTAAGGTGTCATAAATGTACTTTCGAAAAGATGGCAATTTCCCTTATATTCTGGCGCAAGATTCCCCTATAAACCCTATATTTTTGGTTCAGTTTGATTGAGTGATTGTTTGTTTTAGAGCAAAGCCACATTGAGCTCTCTGCTGTGTCCATCGTAGGGAATCGAAACCCGGATTTTAGCGTTGTAAGACAGTAAACTGACCGTTGTTCTACCGGGGGAGTTTGGGCTCAGAAGTTTTATATACGATTTCCAATATTTTTATCATAAGCCAGTGAATATAACAAACAGCTTGACTATTCTAAACATTTTATTAAATATTATCTTAAATAAAATGCATTTTATTTTTCACGTTCCATGAGAATGTAAAAATAAGTCCATTTTACAAAAACTCTTCATAAAGACATTTAAACAAAATTTTTCTTTTAAATTTAAATCTTAGTTTTGATTGGCTCACAAAGGAATTTATTTACCAATGTTTGACTGCCTCGACTACACTTTCAAGCTTGATTTCGCAAAATTGTGGGGTTAGGGTATACAATGGGGTGGGGCGGTAATACTTGCCCTGTCATTTTTGTTGGGTTAGACGCTAGTATTAGATTAATTTGCTTTAACACACACACACACACACATATATATATAGAGAGAGAGAAAGTGTTTTGTTTGTTGTTAATCGCAAAGCTACACAATGGGCTATCTGTTCTGTGTTCACCACAGGTATCGAAAGCCGATATTTTGTGTTATAAGCCCTCAGACCTACCACTAAGCCACTGGGCAGCGAAAGTAAGTGATTTGTATTTTGAAATATTTGACATGGAAGCAATAAAAATATGGATATTTTTTTGAAACTATGTTATTTCCCATGCTGTCTTTCCTTCCACTAATTTTTTTTAAATATACGCTCTCGTTTTTTGTTACTCAATTTTTTTTCTTTTTCATATATGGCTTACTTCTTACATATATATATATATATTAATGAATGGATCATATGTAAACATCCATTTCCATGCTTTATTGTCTTTCCGGGTTAAATACGATTTTAAGAAGACTTATCTCTATATTTCTTATTTACTGTTTCATCTTCTACTACAGTGATTGGAATTCTAGGCTGACAGGAAGAAATGTTATTACTAAAATAAATGTTGACGGCCTCTGTCACCCACACAAGCCTAGAATAGCATAATATCACATTACTTTTAGTAAGCGACGAATGTTAGATCGATGTTTTCTGCCATAACCCTGCAGTTTTGGATACTCGATTGACTTAATCTATTCTTTTTGTTTTAGTTTTAACCTCTTAAAGCTATAGTAAGACTAGATATTGTAAAATGATGTTACCAGAGGAACTGTTGTGAGATGTGTTATCATATCGCCTGAAAATGGTCATGAATCATTCATAATTGTTATATTATTGGCTCTTACTAACGATATGTATTAGCTACAGATGTCAGCATAAATAGCTGTAACTACACATGTATACTTTCTACTGATCTTGCTTCAGACGAAGATGTTTTTTTAATAATAGTCCGTACATAGATAGCACATGTGCACACAATTTACACAAGATGGTTTGGGAACGTTACATCATATGCAACACATATTCTGCACAAACGTAACAGACACCCCTACTTCATGAGCAAGATGTGACGTTCTTTTTCTGGTTTGCTTGTCAAGTGTGAACGTAAAAATACTGTTACGTCTCTGGTCGTTTGATAATTTCCAGTAAAATTTATTTCCAAGAAACTTCGGCGATACGAGTTCTTTCTTAATTAAAACTAGTTTA